ACTAAAAATATAAAGATTAGGAGTCTGGTCTCGCTCTGGCGTCAGAGCCACCATCGCTCGCTCCCTTCTCGGCAGCGGTACCTGCTCCAGGTGGCCCTGAGGACGTGCGGGCCAGGGGCGGCCCCGAAAGTAGGAAGCGGAGGGGAAGCAGGCCTAAGTGTCCGGCGGCGCACCTCGCGTCAAGAATCGGGAGGAGGAAGAGATCGCAAGGATAGGCACAGGAGTAATGGAGTCTAAAGAGGAACTAGCGGCAAACAATCTCGACGGGAAAAATCCCCAACAAGAAAACGAAGGAGGGGAGCAGGTCCCCAAGTAGAATGAAGAAGAATCCCGCGCCATTCGGGAGAGGGTGAAGGGCAGAAGTCTGGAGGAAATATCAGACGGGGGCGAGTTAGGCGACTTGTCCCTAATTTTCGGTGGGCCATACCTAATAGGCATAGTGAGCACAATGAAGCGAGAGATGATGTAGAAAGGTTTGTAGGGCAGATGATGGAAATCAAGAGAAAGACTAGGGAACAGCAGATAAGGCACTATATGCGCTTCCAAACTCCTGAACCTGACAACCATTATGACTTTTGCCTCATACCTTGAATCCTTAAGTTTTTCCTGAAGTTAAAAATGTGAACACTGCTTTACAAGCTTGTATTTTTGTGATTTACTTTTTCTGTAAGCCTTTTGGTGTTTCCGCTTACCAGTTTCTAATGGAAATCAGAATTCTAATTGAATATTGTTTTGTCTCAGCCTAAAAGTTACTGTTAGCATGGCAGCTTCACTCATTTTAGGAAAAATATTCTCTTCATAATATGAAATGCATAAAGCAGTTCCAAAAGCAGTCTGTATTTCATCATCTTCCTCTTTCATTCCAGTTGCTATTTTTTGTAAATATTATTTTTCCTTTACCTGGACTCAAAATCTCACTTGTCTTGAGAATATTTTCTTGTCTCTGACCAAGAAAGAACGATCATACCCATAATTCAGTGTCTGAATTTTAAGAATGTATGTTCTAGTGTTTTTCAGAGTGAGTCTACCATCTGTATAAAAACACCTTGGGGGCAGGGGGCATTTGAGAATGTGGGACCTATTGTCCAAACTCACAGAGTGGGGCTCTGGAATCTCCATTTTTAACAAACTCTCTAAGTAATTCTGATGTGTACCAAAATCAGTGCCGTTGATGTGTATGTATGTACCTATATACATTTGTGTGTATGTATAATGTGTCATAAGCATAAAAAATAAACAATGTCAAGAAAAAAAAATATATATATATAAAGATTAGCTGGCTGTGGTAGCTGGCACCTGTAATCCCAGCTACTTGGGAGGCTGAGGCAGGAGAATCACTTGAACCTGGGAGGCGGAGGTTGGCGTGAGCCGAGATCATGCTACTGCACTCCAGCCTGGGTGACAAAAGGAAAACTCTGTCTCAAAAATAAATAAATAAAATAAAAAAATAAAGACTGGGAGCAGACAAACAGTTTGTAGGCGATGGTTGTGGGCAAATGATCATAAGCTAGGAAATAGATATTTTTGGAACTATGTTAAAATTCCTTTCTAGAGATCCCATTATGTTTCCTCTGCAGCATTAGCTATCCAGGTTTTACACAGGTTTATATTTTATAGGTCCTATCTCTAAGACTATTTAAAATATTAGTATTAATATCTCTTCCTAGAGGAAAAGTTGTACTTCTCCAAAGTATCAAGAGGAACTGGAGCCTGGCGTGGTGGCTCACACCTGTAACCGCAGCAGTTAGGGACGCTGTGGCGGGCAGACTGCTTGAGCCCAAGAGTTCGAGACTAGTCTGGGCAACAAGGTGACACTCTATCTCTACGAGAAATACAAAAATTAGCTGGGCGTGGTGGCACATGCCTGTATTCCCAGCTACTTAGGAGGTGGAGGAGGGAGGATCACTTCAACCAGGGAGGCTGAGGCTGCACAGAGCTCTGGTTGTGCCACTGCACTCCAGCTTGGGGAACACAGTGAGACCCCGTCTCTAAAAAAAAAAAAGGGACTAATGCCCATTTCATCACATGCAGTCCTTGTTGATCTAGGGCTCAACTTCCAGGTCCCCTATTCATTTGTTAACTAGTTACTCATCCTTTACAGGGTGTCCAGTCTTAATATCCCTTTCCCTATGGCGTTTATATCCACTTTGCCAGGCAAACAACAAGAAAATAACTACCACTCTAATAAAAGCAGTGAGAGGAATAATCAGGGTGCTGATACAGAATGATGGTGGAGGGGAAAGCTGAAACCTAAGGAAGTGAAAAAAGTAGCTGTGTGAAGGGGGAAGTGAGGGGTGGTAGCCATGGAACCAAGAATGCAAAGGCCCTCGGATGGTTAAAGGCTGGACCAGATTCTAGGAACTGAAACACAAGCATGTTTGGGGTTTAATGATCAAGAAGCCAGGGGGCACTACGAGATAGAGTTGGAGAGATCTGCAGAGGCTGGACTGAGGGATTAGCTCATATTTAAGAATGTACAATTTTTTTTTTTTTTTTGAGATGGAGTCTTGCTTTTCCCCCCAAGCTGGAGTGCAGTGACACAATCTTGGCTCACTGCAACCTTCACCTCCTGGGTTCAAGTGATTCTCCTGCCTCAGACTCCTGAGTAGCTGGGATTATAGGCGCGAGCCACCACGCCTGGCTAATTTTGGTATTTTGATGTTTTCCACTCATCTTCACCAACCAACCTACTTCCCCTAAACCTAAGGTTTCACTCTAGCAGGAACTACCATCTGTGGCATGAGATCCACTGAACCAATTAGTGGCTTTCAAGCCTCTTCACCTTAAGTGGTATTTGTCATTTACAAGTTCCCTAGCAACTAGAATGGGTTGGGGTGGAAGATCAAAGAACAGGCACAGAATTTTCTTTTTTTGAGACAGGGCCTTGTTCTGTTCCCCAGGCTGGAGTGCAGTGGCATCATCATGACCTTCCGGGGCTCAAGTGATCCTCCCAGCTCTGCCTCCTGAGAAGCTGGAACTGCAGGCTCTTGCCATCATGTCCAGCTAATTTTTTTATAGAGACAGGGGTCTCAGTTTGTTGCCCAGGCTGTACAGCCCAGGTTGGTTTCGAACTCCTGGCCCCAAGTGATCCTCTCACCTCAGCTTCCCAAAGTGTTGGGATTATAGGTGTGAACCATCATGCCCTGCCCAGGTAGAGAATTTTAGATTGCCTCAGTTCATTGAAGCTCAGACCAGGTTTGGTTGTCGTCCTTCTGTAGGGCAATAGGTCCTGTACTGAGAACTAAACTGAATGTAGGTGTAAGGAAGGGATCCTTATTAGCCTTAAATTCAATTCCCTTATCTCAGTGTTTTAGAGTTTCTCAGTAATTGAGTATTGATGAAATAGTCTTCATCTAAAACATGGTAACATAATTCAGCTGACATGCTTAAATTCCACTTCAACAGTCAGAGGCTGATGGCAATTACGAAAAAGGCTCGTTATTGCTAGTTGAAAAAAAATGGGTCAGTAGTCAGAAGTGGTGGCCTGTACTTCTGGTCCCTGCTACTCGGGAGATTGAGGTGGGAGGATGGCTCATCACGGCTCACTGTAGCCTTGACCTTCCAGGGCTCAAGTGATCCTCCCAGCTCAGCCTCCTGAGTAGCTGGGACTGCGGGCTCATGCCATTCACTTTATTGTGAGGCTGCAGTGAGCCATGATTGCACTGCTGCACTCCACCCTGGACGACAGAGCGAAATTGTCTCAGAAAAATTAAAAAAAAAGAGTATTTCACTAATAGAGGTAGTATGACCCCCTGATGACTTGAAGACAGCGCAACAGACGGACCTTCTTTAGTCATCATCTACTTAGCTAATAGAACAGTTACACTCACTGCTGCATAATCAGTTGTATGGCCAACTTTGCACTAATTCCTTTGGTCACAAATATACACAATCAAGTTAAGACTGAATGTAAATTTAAACTTTACTTTTGCTTTCTTCTCCCCTCCCCCACCAAAAGGTCCAGGGTCCAATATTATATACCTTCTTTATGGGTGAGAAACATTGTGAAAAGTTGTTCCATTCTTTCCTCAATCTGAATCTGAATCAAATTTCAATCAATCTGAGTGATTTCAATATGAGGAAGTTCGGTCTATCAAGGCATGCTCTGAATAGCTTTCATAGAGAAGTACTTGAGTTCTTGAATACCAAATCTTCATTGTTTGCTGACTATGCAGATTTATCACGTGCTGAAAAAACAGGTTTTCCAACTGTCAAAGCCTTTGGGAAATTCACCTGCCTAGGCTTTCGTGGGGTCTGCCTCTTGGAGCTGAGAACACAACTTCTGTTACACCTGTGTTGTCACTGAAGCTAGAGATTCCTAAGATCATTCTAGAAAAAGGGAAGAACGGGTAGAAGGCAAGCAAGGAACAGTTTCTTAGGGCCTAAACTTTGCATACAATGACCAGCTACGACATTCACAGCGGCCTTAAGTTACAGTCCTCGGTAGGTGCAGATCGGCTTCCCAATGAAACCTGGCCTTCACTCTCATCTAAGGGTTACTTTTTCAAAAGAAGCCGCTTTTCCTCCTCCCAATTTCCGAAGGCACCCGCCCGGCAATCCACCAAACAGGGCGGACACAGGGCGGGAAACAGGCCACGTGTGATTTCCGAACTCTTTCCGGCGGGCTCCGGCCCCGGCGAACCCAGCCCCGCGGAGGAACCACGGCCGCCACCCCCGAAAGGCGGCCTGGCCCGCGTTCCTCGCCCACGTGGCCACCGCACGCGCCCGCTCAAAGTTCCAGGGCGGCGGTCCAGCTCTGGGACCTTGGACCGTACGAGCTCCCGCCCCGACGGCGGGAGTCAGGAGCGTGGTGGCCGGGACCAGTCCCCGCCCGCTGTTCCGTGCACCTCCGCCCCAGCCCGCGCGCCGCCTCCCGGACCACCGTGGCAGAAGACGCACGGAGAACCGGAAGCCAAAATGGTGACGCTCCACCCGCTTCCTCTCGCGAGAGGCGGGGAAGGAAAAAGTTGAGCGAGAGACAGGCACGTAGCCAGTGAGAGTGCTGGGAGTGCCTGATTGGCGGCCCTCGCGGCGCCTGCAGGCCACGCCCCGGCTGCGGAGGCTCAGTCACCGCCTTCCCCTCCCGCCCCCTCCACTCCCTGCTCGGTTCTTCTCTTCCCGTCTGAGGTGGTGGCTGGTCTTCCTTCGTTGCCAGTTCCATTTTCCTCTGCTCTCTCTTCCCCTTTCCCTCGCGCCCGAGAGCGCCTCCCAGCCTCGTAGGGTGGTCCCGGAGCCCCTGCGCCTTCTCCTTTCTCGGGTCCTGCGTCCGCGCCTGCCCCGCCATGAATGAGGAGTACGACGTGATCGTGCTGGGCACTGGCCTGACGGTGGGCGCCGGGGCTGACGGGCCGGGGCGGGCGCACCCCTGTGTCCTGCACGGCCCGCGGGTCGCAGGTCCTCGGGGGTCTCGTTCTGCAGTCAGCCGTAGTTTTCCTGACGGGAGTCGTGGGTGGGGGCACGGGCAGCTTGGGGGCGCCCCGCGTTCCGGGGCGAGCGGGCGGATCCCAGTATGAGGGGCAGGCGGGGAAATGGAGGCGCGGGCCGCGAGGCTCGGGCGCGGGGTAACGGCCGAGCCCGGAGGCTGCGCTCGCTCCCTGCGGAAGCGGAGGAGAGGGAGAAACCCGCCCGGGCCGAGGCTCCGGCGCCCTGCTTTGGGCGGGTGACCTCTCGTGGTTGGAAACGAGCACCCGAGGCGGAGGGAACGGTACAGGCCTCGCGGTTTCCTACTCCGCCTCGGTCGCTGCCCCGGGTCAGTCTGTCTGCCAAAGCCGAGCACGGGATTTCGCGACAAGTCTTGGATAATCACTGATTCGGAACTGCCAGGGATTGACAACTTACATTTTTGGAGAAAACGCAGAAATTAGTCTTTTAATCCTTCCCGCTCCCCCCCCCATAAGAAATATTACTGAATCCTTCTAGTTACCCTCCCTTGCACTTACTGAGCATCTGTAGAATTGAAATTGAGTTTTTTCAAAACTTATCTATCAAATACTTTCGCACCTGACCTTCGCCGCCTTTTCCTTTTGTTTGGTGGATTTCCTGCCTCCTTTGTCTCTTCTGGACTCTCTTCCCTAACAACTGGATTGGTGATGGATTGCTGGAGGCCAAGTTCTCTGTACTCCGAAGCTTTCTGTAGGGAGTTGGAAGATAACATGAAGAATGCATTGTGATATATGAATGCAAAGTGTACCTAATAACGTGGTATATTGATTTTCCTGGTTATCTGTTTGCTTAGAGAACTTTAGATAATTTGCAGATAATGCAGGCAGGTGCTGTAGTTTGTTTTTTTTTTTTTTTTTTTTTTTTTTATGAAGACTGTTCATCTTGCAAAAGAATTCAATTTGAAAAAAATATTTTAACAAAATTTTGGGGGAAATTTGAAATTCTGACTTGGGGCTGCTTGATCATAATTAAGATGAATACTGATGTGAATCTTGTATATCCTATGTACTCTGACCTCAAATTCCTGAGTCATTTAATGTAGATTTACCCTTCAAATTTTTTGAAATTTATTATAATCTCTCATTTCCCCCCCCCCGCAGGTAACATCCCAAATAACAATTTTCGATGTCTCTAGGCAAGAGAAAACCTTTGAACTTTTATTTGGCAGTTTTTTAAGGAAATGTTTGTTAATAATTAGAATGGTGTTTTTCTGGCCTGTCATTTTTCCGTTTATAGTTATATGCAAATATTAGAGGTTATTCATTCCGAATACTTTGTTTGACCAGTCCAGGAATAATCCTGTGACTGCCTTGGAGAAGCTGGAAGACTGTTGGACGGCTAAATGAATAGGCCCTACCCACTGCAGGTTTTGTGTGTGGTGGTGTGTGTTTTTTAAGTGCCTAATTGGGATTCCAGGCTGAGCTTAGTAGTTTGTGGTGGATTTTGCCGGTTGGAATGGGTAGCGTTGCTGCCAGCATGTTGTAAGAGCCAGTTAGTTCCACCGTTTTTCTATGGTGGTTGTTGGTCTTTGAGATTTGCTCACAAATGAGGTCAGTTGAGCATGGACAAGTGAATGCAAATCCACCATCATGCGGGCTTCCACAAGCCTCGTTCACATCACTTTGTATCAAAGATGGTGAAACAGTCTTTTTATATAACAAGTTAAGATAATGCACTTTTTAAAAATTTTCATTTGAATTGTGAACTCTTTGATGAATGATGGATGAATACTTAACTAGAAATCAGACCCATTTCTGCTGTTATTTTGTGGCTTTGATAACTTTAATCGCTGAGCCTTCCTAAATTTTCTGAGATGTTCTTTGATACATCAATAATGTGATTCAAATTACATTATTAACATCATTGATAGGAGTAATGATAACAGGATGATTTTGATAATTAGAAATCTTATATCCTTATTTTTAGTGATACCAGGAATTAGACGACTAAAAACTAGAAGAAGAGAAAACCAAAGTTAGAACTCAGGTTAGAATTAACTTTTGAGTGCCTGGAGTTAATTTTCTCCAAATTTACTTTATATTTAGTGCCTGAGATTGAAGAACCTAAAAAAAGGCAGGTACTTTCAGTGCTAGAAACTTGTTACTTTTAAAGAAGTGAAGAAAGTGCTGGAGTTTTTGTGTTGCTTAGTGCTGTGATTGTATCAGTTGTTAAGTCCAAGCTCACAATCACAAATGTTGATGGTAATGCTAATAAAGAAGATACAAAATGATTTGGTATAAGGGAGTAAAATCTTCATTCTGTGTGTAAAAGAAATGGAATATTCCACGCACTTGAATTTTCTAAGGAATTAAGGGTTATCTCTAACGAGCCACAGCTTTTGGATAATGCCTTTCTAAATGCTGTCACAACTTTTTTTTTTTTTTTTTTTNTTTTTTTTTTTTTTTTTTTTTTTTTTTTTAACTAAAACAATTTACTCGATAACTTAAGATTTCACATCATGAAGATTAATGATTGTGTTAAGCTGTAACATGGTGAAGTTGTGAAGGCTCCATCAGGTTGGTAGGAACTTTTGCTCCCTTTCCTCTCAGGCTGCTCTGCTTTTTGAGCTATTCAGTTTACGCTCCAATTTTTTTTCCCCTCTTTCTTACTGTTAGGCTGACAACATTCACTTTTCTCTGCTTTCAGCATGTGTAGGCAGCTTCTCACCACATAATTTGCACATAATTTACTAAGGGCTTGGAAATAAATTCACAAGTCTTGTTAGACATAGATTAAAAAAAAATTTCATAGCTATTTGTGCTTCTCAGAGGGTTCTTTTATTCCGTTTTTTTGTTCTACACAGTAAGGATTTATCAATAGAAATATTTAATTTAGTGATATTTACCCAGATGATTCTCAGCATTATATGTTTAAAAACTTGCTTTACCTCCCAGATACTTTTCCCCATTTCTCTTTATCAAAATTTTGTGATATCAGATTCAGAGAGGAGGTTTTGTACTTGATTTTAAAATTCCAAACTGTAATTCAGATTGCCTCTTGGATTTGCTTAATCTTAGATTTGCTTTTTGACAGTTCTTGGTTATGGCGGTGTAAGAGTTCTGTAGACAAAGGACTTTCTATTCACAACAGTAGTGATCGTAGGATCAATATTTACAAATGCACTAGGGAGCTATGTTGTAGGCAGTTTAAACCAGTCTTAAGCTTCCTGGCCAAAATAAAATCAAGTGAAATTAGACATATTTTAGCATGTAGGGATGACAATAGTATGACATTGGGTTTTAAAGGCCACTGGTAGATGTTCACATGTGTGATACGCTGCAGTTACCTCTGTCTTCCCTCCCATGGTACCTGATTGGAGAGTTACTGGAGTACTAGTTTCAGTTATTTAAGCTTGCAGTGACTATTGTGATCAGTTATGGGCAGTAAAAAGGTAAACACAGAATCTGTCTATAAGTAGCTTGCTCTCATGTTGGGAGTAGTATAACTAATAAGAATTAGTATGAGAAAGTACCAAGTCCCTTAAGAGGTACATTTATGAGAATTCAGACAGGGAATCAGGAAAACCTTCATAAAATAGGAGATATTTAGCTGGCTTTAACAAAATATTGGCAAGCTTTGAATGGAGGAATGATTTTAGGCAGAGGGCAGTGTAAGTCAGTGCTAAGTCAAGGATTTTGTAGGGAATGGGGAGTCGTTTATTTTGTTTGAAATAGAAGGTTTGGAGAGGCATAATAGAGTTAGAAAGAAGGCATACAACAATGTGAAATATTCTGGGCTAAGAAATGTGAAAATTATCTTCAAGGCAGTGAGAGGGGCCTTTGAGCCGGAAAGTGATATAATTAGCCACACTTCAAGAGAAGGTATCCTTTGACAGTTTTTAATGAGATGCACTGGAGGGGCAGAGTCATTTAAAGAAACATTCTGCGTAAAACAAATGGGCATTTTTATTATGTTGTTGCTGTAAGAATTACACCATTGAAATGAACTGATTTTTATTTTTTTGAGACAGCCTGTCACCCAGGCTGGAGTGCAGTGGTGCGGTCTTGGCTCACTGCAACCTCCACCTCCCAGGTTTAAGCAGCTCTCATGCCTCAGCCTGCCTAGTAACTAACAGGTGCCTGCCACCACACCCAGGTAATTTTTGTATTTTTAGTAAAGACGAGGTTTCACCATGTTGACCAGGCTGGTCTCAAGCTCCTGACCTCAGGTGATCCACCCGCGTCAGCCTCCCAAAGTGCTGAGATTACAGATGTGAGCCACCGCACCTAAGCCGAAATGAACTGATTTAAAATTTTTCTTGTTAATGCATTTTCTCATATTTCTAGGTAAGTAGCTTTGAGAAGGCACTTTAATATTAATTATTAGATACTTTGTACTCCTGATCACATTTGTGTGTGTGTATGTATTTGATAGTTTTTTTTTTTTTTTTTTTTATAAATTTTTTTTTTTTTTTTTTTTTTTTTTTTTTTTTTTTTTTTTTTTTTTTTTTTTTTATTTTTGAGACAAGAGCGCTCTGTTACCCAGGCTAGAGTGCAGTGGTGCAGTCTCTGAGCCCGGTTCAAGTAGTCCTCCTGCCTCAGCCTCCCAAGTAGCTGGGATTACAGGCACTCAGCACTATGCCCAGCTAATTTTTTTGTGTTTTTAGTAGAGACGGGGTTTCACCATGTTGGCCAGGCTGGTACTGAACTCCTGACCTCAAGTGATTTGCCTACCTCAGCCTCCCAAAGTGCTGGGATTACATGCAAGAGCCACCGCATCTGACCCATACAGAACTTTAAAATGCAGTAGGATTTGATAGGGTATAGAGGGGTTTTTTTTGTTTGTTTTTGAGACAGGGTCTCAATCTTTCCAGGCTGGAGTGCAGTTGTGTGATCATCGTTCACTGTAGCCTCAAGCTTCCAGGCTCAAGTGATCCTCCCACCTC